TGATGATGATGATGATGATGATGATGATGATGATGATGATGATGATAACTATCATCGTAGCATCCTCTGCATCCCCAATGGTGATGATAACTATCATCGTGGCAACGCATCCGCAGCACCCTTCCCGTGCGCCTCCCCCTTTCAGGAGCAGGGGTCGGCGGATTTAGAGGTGTCGGTTGAACGGTCGGTTAGAAGCTCAAAAGCGTCGCTCAAACATGGCTCCAGCTGGACAACATTGCTCGAGTTGACGAAATGCACATTCCCAAGGCCATCTTTTGCATTCGGGTTCGTGGCTTCTATCAGGTTCTGTAGTCAATTTTAGTAGGGAACCCTCCCCCAAAAAGGGTGGGAAAGGGCACTACTGGGAGACCTAGACTTCAAAACAGGCCGTTTCCGGAAGTTTCCCCCTTTGAACACCACCTCACCAAGCTCACTTCAACTCGGCACACAAGAAGATGCTCACAAGCACTCAGAAAGGAAAGTACTGGCTGCCCATTCACCCTCACAAAGGGTACGGGCTTCCCCCCCCAAAAAAAAAGAGAAAGAAGGCTCCGATACAAGTGGATGGTGTCATGGTTTCTGGAGTACTGGCAATTTTGAGTGAGTCCCTGCAATGTCATGGCTCACCCCTGAGTGGGTCACCCCGAAGGAGCGAAAGAAATTGTTTTTGGCTGTCTTGTTTGAATGTACCTCACTTCCTGAGTGGATTGGTCAAGAAAAGTCTGAACTTGTTATTTGCCACCAAAATAGCATTCCCACCACTAAAGTCCAGGAACTCAGGAAGTCAGCTACTCTTTCTGGGGGTTGTTTGAACGAGAAGCCAAAGCATGCCAAGGACAACCGGCATGTTCGCTCGGCGGCGCGGGATCCGATCCGTTTCAAGACGGACCCATATTCCCTTCACAAAGAAACATGGGAAATCCAACAGTTCCAACCAGATTCCACGTAGACCCACCTGAAAGCGTCTCCCCCTAAAAAAAAGGAAAGAAACACAAGAACACACACAAAAAAAAAGTGTCTGCCCCTAAAAAAAACAAAAGGAGGCAAACAACTTCACCAGGCAGCATCCGACATCCCCAACAGCCCGCGCCGATCCCTTCCGAAAGAGATCTGCCTTCAGCAGCATTCCATCTATCACCACCTGCCCCGCATTGATGGCGTCCAGCGCCCTGAGAAAGGGAACGAACTCGCTCAAGGCGAGTTCGCGTCTCACCCCTGTTTTTCAGGAACCCTCGAAGACAAAGAACAACAACGTGCGGAACAGGGTATCTGTATCAGGGACAACCAGCAAATAGCCAGGTTTCATGGCTCCATGGAAAGAATCAAGCCATTTGCCAGGGTTCCATTTTGGGCACCTGTTTTTGAGCCACAAAGATACGTCAAGTTGAGTAAATACGGACTGGAATCTAAAGAGTTCGGAAAAGGCATCCCTTCCACACTCTGCCCAGGGTTCCTGGCCTGGATGCCATGTTAGTGTCCCAGTGGATTTGGGGAAAAAAAGAATCGGCACCCGATTTTGTTGCGTGAGCTTAGAGGAATCGGAACTCGGGCGCCCAAAAAAAGTTTAGAACAGAATTGGCACTGGGCAACGGAGTGTGCAACAAGGCATCCTGGCCGAACCCTTAGATTCCAGTCCGTATTTATTGAACTTTGTGACACATTGTTGTGGCTCAAAAACAGGTGCCCAAAATGGAACCCTGGCAAATGGACAAGTAGACCAACATCTGCCGCTTCATTTTGACCACCCCGTCACATCTTTTGCGACCGCAGATCAGTCCGGAGCCTTGTTAGGATTGCTTGTGGGAGAACAGTCAGGCTGCCCGAACGGAAGCGCGCTGCACGGCTTAGAGTTGCAAAGGGACTAGGTCCTCCAGTAGAAAGGATAGAATAAGTTGGTACCAACCTTTTTCTGGTTTGTCTATTTTAGTAGGGGAACTCTCCCAGCCAAAAAAGGGCAACAGGGCACTACTGGGGGGGACCTTTTTTCCACTGGCCGGAGCCAAGTGGCTCTCTGAGGAAGCCCTACTTGAACTCGTCAATTTGATTCACGATTCACGGGGCCGAGTATTGAATAGTCCCGCTTCCTGAAACAACAAACAACAACGGACAATCTTGCCCGTCACAAGTTAACATCAAGTCAAATCAGAAACCAGCATCGCAAGCCTCCAAGAGCATGTACTAGTTCGCAGCCCTTCCTTCTCTAAACAACATCCCATGTTCTGCCTTTCACACAAACAGACATTGCAATTCCTACATCCTGCGACCATGCGGCAACTCACCCAAAGGAACTGGGGCACCCGAAACATGAAGAGAATCACTTAGCCCGGGTTTGGGCACGGGGTCGTTAGACCCCAATGGACCTCCGTAACGGAAACTGTATGGCTCGGAGACAGTGATTCCATCGTCTGACAATCCGCTTTCCGCATGCGAGCAAGGAAGGTGTTCAAACACCAGCCTCCCTCAGGCTAACACGAGCCCTGGACAAAGCGCCTTGTTTCCCCAAGCAAAGGCAAGCCAAACCAACAGTGGACTATGATGTTTGTGGGCAGTTGCGTTGATAGCCTGCCCGCACCCTCCCGTAACTCTGCAGCCAAGTACTGCCTCATACTTCACGTTTTGTTCCTGAACATCACACCTTCACACGCACCAAGGAAAAGCTGTATCGTGGGGGCCGGGGGGAGGGAGGGGAGGGGGAGGGAGCCCCTAAGAAGGCCCTTATTAAGCCCCAAAGAAGGCCTTATTTAGGGCGTACTTGGGCGCCCTCCCCCTCCCCTCTCCCCCCCAGCCCCCCATGACAGTATGACCTAGTCCCACTTCCCGAATATCCAGGCATAATCCCTCGTGGCAAACCCGAAATCAGTCGACACCGCACTACTGGAAGGTCCTGCGCCTCAAAAACCAGAGGGGGCAGCTTGGGGCTCGGGCCAGTGCTACCAGTATCAATAATTTTCTCGCTCACGGAGTCACAATCAAAAACTAGTACACAAATGGTCGACCCAGAACCATGCAAAGAATTAAGAAGGCGGCCACAGCTATTTTTGGCTGGGATTCTCCCTTACTACCCTCCAATTACCCGGGTTTTGATTGTGGCTCGGACCTGGACATCGAAGGGCAAAACACAAGAAGCCAAAAACCCAGCTCCAGTCGATTTGGATCGGGCAAGTGAGTACTGCCGAGCCCGCATTGATACCGTCTTACTTTTTGCTTTTCTGCGAAAATGTTCCCTTCCAAAAAAAAATCCGAAGTGAGGCACCCAACCGTACCCCTTTTTTTCCCGGGCTTGAACCGAACCGTCCTTTTTTCTGGGCTCACCTTCCGAGCATCCCGCTGGGGCTTCTGCTTCTGGGGTCCCTCCCCCCTCCCGAGCGCCTCTGCGCAGCTTCGGGGGTGGAGAAGCGAACCTGGCTGACCCCGTGCGAGCCAAGGGGAAGTTGGAACCCGGGCCTCCAGTTTTGGAGCTTAGAATATGGTACCGACTTCTTTCGGGTGTGTCTATTTTGGTAGGGGAACCCTCCCCCCCAAAAAAAGGGGTGAGAAAGGGCATGGATTTCTGGGGGACCTAGCCAACTACTTTTACAGTAAGTTCAACTTACTGGATTTCTGGGGTGGGTGGAGTTGGGATCTGGGCCGCCAGATCAGTCTTCCATGCCTTTCTGGGCACTGAGATGCTTGGTCTCCTGCTGGCTCCCAACCCAAATACCAACTAAGGGGCCGACCCATAGGCAATGGTCCGATTTTGTTGGGTTCCTAGAAAACACCCCTTGGAAAAATAGAAGTACGTCCAGTAGTGATAAGTTCCAATCGATTCCAACAGGGGGAAATATACATAAGCAAATGGAAGGAAAGGGGACGTAAGGATTCTGCTTTTCCGTTGCCAATGAATGTTGGAACTCGAGTGTATTTGACTGCTCTTGGAAATTCTGTGGCTTAGATTTGCAACTCTGCGGGATCCTTGGTGGACATCAGAATTCGATGGGATTTGTGTCCGCCAACCACTTAGAATAAGGGTACCAACTTTTCTTCTGTAGTGTATTTTACTAGAAAAACCCTACCCCAAAAAAGAAACGGGGGAAAAAACGGGCACCAATTGCTGGGGGACCTAGCCATACACTTCGTCGCTGGGTCCAATGGGGCAGCTTAAGGCCAACAACCCCTTTTGACGGAGGGGCTTTTGGGGCTTTTGGGGCGGGCTCCACGCAAGGAGGACCCAGGAACGTCTGCCGAACATTGCAACTTGCAATAAATGGCCTGGTTTTTCCAACTCTACTTTGCTGTTGAAAAAAGCAACATGATTCAACTGGTGGCAGAAGGCATCAATTTGAAGGAGCCTTCCTTCAGGAACGTCAACCGCGCCCGAACGCTTGCAGCCCGCATCGGCGAGGCCGCTTCTTCTCCAGAAGTTGGCTGCTTCCGCTGGTCTCGCGGCCCAAGGCCCGTCGCCATCTCGCCGCCAGAGGCACACCACGGGGAGCCCGTGTTTAGGCTATAATACGTCTGTGGCTCAAAAAACCGGCGCCAAAATGGAACCCTGGTAAGTGGGAGAAGCATGGACCAAAACCTGCGGTTTGCCCCTCCTGCTTAATTTTGGCTGCCACACCCATATTATATATGTAAAAAAAATGACATTGCCAGAAGAAACCTTTATGTATTTTCCTTGGGGGGTGGCCCACAGGTTTTCCTTGGAATCCACCCAAGCTCTTCCATCTGCTTTTTTCGCCTGGCAAAAACTAAGTCTATGTCCAGTATGCAGGAGCTCCCGCTAAGCACATGTCCGTCTAGTTTCAAGTGGTGCGGCCCAAGGGGGAAAGAACAAGAACAGATGGGTGTGGGTCAAAATGCAACCACAAAAAAAAAACGCGGGTTTCTTGTTTTAGTCCGTTCCATTTCCCAGGGCAAGCCATTTTGGGCACCTGTTTTTGACCCGCCAGATGGGCATCGGGCGTCTGGGCGTCTCCGAAGTTCGCTCGAAGGAAGGGCTGGTGAGGGGGCGAGCCCTGGGATCAGAGGGCGAGCCAAGACCATGGAACCCTTTCTCGGGTTTGCGTGGCTCTACCTTTTACCTTACAGATGCAAATTTTTCGAGCATGCGGCTTCTCTCTGGAATCCTGCCAAAATCGAAAAAAAGAAGCCAAGCCGAGAAAAATCTACAAGAACCCAAGGAATCAAACACTTTCGTGGTAAAGCCATGCGAGCGTAAAGCCGTGGTGTTGGGTGTCCCTGCCCATAAAACCATGCTAACATATCTTTACCTATTCATGGTTCTCCGTGTCCCATACTAACCTTCGCAAGCTTCACATACCGTGTTCACTGTACCAAAAACTCGGGGTGAAGAATCCAACACAAGCCTTGAAAGTATGGTGGCACATTGATGGTTGTGGAAAAAGTAAGGCTTTCTGTGATAATGCTGATCCCGGACTATTCAACCGTTGGTTGATTCTGATTGGGAGGTGTCCCCTTGTCCGAAGATCCGAAGATCCCTAAAATGTGGGGCAAGACCTGGTTGCCTACAGGAACGGGAGCTGGAAGAACTAGGAAACTCCTGAGAGAGAGAGCGAATGGTCAGAAGACTTTCCCCTTTTGTTCGGAATTCCGGTACAGAAACAACTGCAGTTTCCACTGTATAGACTATAGGTAACCAGAGTTTCGTTCCTCTGGGTAGGGGTCCCCTTACCTACGAATAAGCCCTGCACTTTTCTGGTGCCCGGCCCCCCCCCAATAAAACAGGATAGGTTCTACTACTTCGATCCGGGAATCTCATGGTAATTTCCCGCTTCGGCACTGGATCCCTACCATCCATTTGCTTTTTCGCCCCCTGGAAAAATCTTAAGGAAGCTCCAGTCGTGAAAAGTCGATTCCCTGTACCGCTACCAGGAAAACAGAAAAAAAAAAATGGCTGCTCGAAAAAAAAAAAACACGAACTCCATGAAATGGCCATGGCGAATGGAACCAAGACCAAGAAGCCTGCGGTTTGGCAAAGAATTCGTCGCCTCAGCCCATGGCTTCGACCAGCACGCTTAGGCTTCGGGGCTTCGGGTTCTCAATGCACGTCTTGCCGGGTCGAATGGAACGCCATGGGAATGGAAGCAAAGCCCAGGCTTCTCAACTCGGTGGCGAAATCTCCTCCTGCTGAAAGTTTTTAACTTCCAGTGGCCTAATACGGACAACCCATCAGTTGCCAAACAGGTTGAAGTCCTAACATCCCTTGGCAAAAGGCACCACGGTGTGGAACTATGTGTGGGCACCCGTTTTTTCTTTTTTCTGTAGTTTATTTTAGTAGGGGAGCCATGCGAATCCATCGCCCAGCGCCGAAAGCCCCGCCTTTGGCGGCTCCTCCTCGGGGTTTTGCCGATTGCCCATGTGAACAAGGTCCACCTCGCGGGCCACAAACAAAGAGCGAGCGCGCCCAAAAACGCCCAGGTTGAGGCAAGAGGTACCCCGGTACCCCCCCCCTGTTTTCTGTGTGCTTTCTGTGTGTGTGTGTGTGTGTGTTGATTTGTTGCTTTGTAGAGGGAAACCAAGAGAAAACCCTTGGAGTGGTCTTATTCTTCTAAGGGAGAGCAAATGGGACAACAGTTGATTTTGCGGGGTCATCCTACATAAGACACACTCTGTGGGGCCATGGATTTGCAAGTTTCTCCCCAGGAATGCTTACCATCCCCTATGAATGGACCAAATCCTGCACCGTTCAGAAACCGTGGAATGATTCGATTCCCCTGTACACACCAGCAATGAATAATTTCAACCATGGTTTCCAAGCGGTGCGAAATCAATTTCACAACCACCCACAGTATGCTTCCAGCCCAAGATGAAAAAAACAAACGGAGCTCTTGGGCGAAGATCCCGAGCTGGCCATCCCCAAGAGCCCCGAGCAAGGGGGTGTTTGATCACAGCACATGTGAGTCATGGGTCAAAATCCCAATCCCAATCCCAATCCCCAGTGAACAGCCCTGTGCACTAACTTGGCCCTGCTGCCCTCCCTGGCGCAGCTTGAAGAGCAAATTGGAGCGCTCAAAAACCACAAAGCGCCAGGATCGGACGGTCTTTTTCACGAACTTTTCAAAGTCGACCAAGCCAAGGCTGCCAAGCTTTGGTTCGGACTTCTTTTTAAAGCCTCGGTGCATGGCACCCAGCCAGTGCAAGCAATTGCAGGGGATTTGTGCCCATTATGGAAGGGCAAGGGGACCAGAGATGACATAAAGTCTTTCCGTTCAGTGCTGTTAGCCAACGCATACACCAAAGTCAGCCAGGCGTGCCTTCGCTGCAATTTGATTGCGCGGCTAGATGCTTCCTTCTGTCAGCAACAGATTGGGGGGCGTAAGGGTAGGCAGACAGTGCACGCAACGCAAATTGTGCGGACATTTTTGGCCATTGGCAAGGCAAAAAGTTGCTCTGTGGGTTTGTTGTACCTGGACTTGGAGCAAGCCTTTTACACTCTTGTCCGGCAAGCTGCAACGGGAGTGTTCGACGGCATCCCTTCTTTCGAGTCTTTGCTCGAGAAGTTGCCCATTGCCGACAGCACCCGTGTTTTTCTGCTAGAGTACGCACAGAGCCCTACTGCCGCTCACGGCGCGATTCCTGAGGGTTTGCGTCAGCAGTTGCAGGCATGGCAACGAGCCACATGGTTCCGAATTCCTGCCACGCACCAGGTCGCGTCCTCTGCCTTGGGCTCCCGACCAGGCTTACCCTTAGCAGACCTAGTTTTCAATGTCTTGATGATTGACATACTGCGCCTGCTTGAAAGTGCAGTCAGCTCCAAGGGTATTGGGTCTTGTTTTGAGCCGGGCGTCCCATCTCTCGGCCCAATAGCCTGGATCGATGACGTAGTAATTTGCATGGCGCACCGCTCCCCGCAAGTGTTGCAGACACATGTCTGTCATGCCGCCACCGAGAGCGCCCTTCTTTTCCGGCAGTTTGGTTTCAAGCTTAACTTTTGCCCGGGGAAGAGTGAAGCCACCATTACCTTTGCTGGCCCCGCGGCAGGGCCGGCCAGGGTAGAGTTGCATGTGCACGAGCGTTCCACCGTGAGGTTCCACGACGGGCGGCAGGAAGCGCAATTGCACATTGCGGCTTCTTACAAGCATCTTGGCAGTAAAATTGCGGCCGCTGGGGATATGGCAGATGAGGTAGCGCACCGTGTTGGCGCAACGGCTGAAGCTGCCCGCTTAGCGCAAAAGGGGGTTTTCAAGCACCCCGGATTGTCGACCCGGTCACGAGGCATTCTCCTGCAATCCCTTGTTTTGTCAAGGGCTAGTTTTGGTGTCGGCGCCTGGCCCAAACTCGCAAAGGGAGAGTTCAACCGTTTCCGTAAGTGCTACAATCGGGCATGTAGAACTGCAGCAGGCATGCTAGACAAGGGAGGGACGTGCCACATTTCGGACCTCAAGGTGCTTGCGTATCTTAAGCAGCCCGTGTGTGAGACCTGGCTCCGTGTCCAGCGATTGCATCGATTTGGGCAGGCTTGCAGAAACCCAGACCCGGTTTTGTGGCAATTGCTCCGCCTCGAACAACAGTGCAAAAACAATAGTTGGCTTGGCGCAGTCAATGAAGACTTGCTGTGGTTCCAGCAGCATGGGCCCCCGAAGCTGTTCCAGGAATGTCAAGGCCTGACTCCTGTGTGGCAGGCTGTTGCACGGGCTGCCACAGAGCGTGACTGGCATGCTGGCTTAAAAAAGGCAGCGCAAGCAGAGGTGCTACAGAATGTGGTCGTGCAAGAGCTCAGAGCATGGCGTGCGGAGTCTCGGCAGGGCCTGGAAGCGGCTGGGTGGCGTTTCAAAGCCGGCCCTCCGCCTCTGGTTCCAGCGGCGCCGCCCAACCCTACAGGGCAATGCCACTTGTGCGAGAGCAATTTCCCATCAGCTCAGCAGCTTTCCGCACACCTTTTCAAGCAACATGGCATTTCGGCTGTGCACAGGCAGTTCTGCTTTGGCACTAGTTGCATAGTTTGCCTTAAGGAATTCTACCACACCAGAAGGTTGCAAGACCATCTTCGCCAGCCCAAACTGCCTTGTTTAGGGTTCCTGCTTGCAAACGTGCCCCCTTTGAATCCCTCTGAGGTGAAAGCAACCGCAGTGCCGGAGTGGTTAAAGGGGCACAAGCGCGTCCCAGCGCTCCAGTTGCAGGGGTGCAGACTGCCTACGCTTGAGGAACGGAAGGCTTCCGATTGCCTCACACCTAGGTTTGCTCAGCTTCGGCCTCTGCGGCCAACATATGACTTGCCCCAGGGCGAGCTTGATAGCGAACAAATTTCGGTTGTGTACCCATTGCAACCGGGTCCCAAGTACCGCGCAAAGGTTGCAGATTCGGTTTCCTTTCACCAACAGGTCAAGGCCATGCAAGAAGCTGACCGAGCCCAGTGTTTCGCATGCCTTGAGGAGCCTGCCCCAGCCCAGTGTGTTCCTTGGCCATTTGACAAGCCCACTTTTTACATCCTGCATTTACTTGCAGACGGTTGCAAGGACGGAGACTTGAGATTTTGGGCGGACCGGTTGAGCCCCCTTCTCGATTTCGATCTTGTTGTGGTAGCTTGCGATATTTTCCCACAGGGACACACCGCCCATGTGAAAGAGACCAGCAATATTGAGGGTGTAAAGGAACACTTGTTGCAGAGACGTTTCCTAGGTCTACTAGCCAACCCGCCGCAGGAAACTTGGACCCAAATCTTGTGTCGTGGTCTGCGACTGACCCAAAAAGGTTTGGAGCAATTTCTTGTTGGCAACAAGCATTTCTTCAACACTTTTGCACTGCTGGCAGCATGCGTGGCTTCTGGAATTTCCGCTGTACTCGAGCACCCGCATTCGGTCAATGCGAGGCAAATTCCCCAATTGAGTTGGCTTTTGGCCAGTAAGAATGTGCAGCAGTGGCATGCGGGGAGTCATCATGCCCCACCAACTTGCTTGCTGTCCATCCAAATGCCAGATCTCAGACATGCCTTTGACCAATTTGAAGTGCCAACGCAGTTTAGGCAGTTTCCGAATGCCACGGCCTCCCTTTCGATGGCTCTTGCACTCGCCTTTATCAGGCAGGTGCGCAGCAGGTGGGTTGCGCATTGTTATTACAACGATGGCAATGCAGAGTTTTAGTTTCACGGGGTTTTCGCTGCGAGCATTGACTCTCAGAGCGCGAGCAAGAGAGGTTCTAAAATGGGTGGTGCACCTGCACCTACCCCAAAAAGAGTACCATTGGTTTTGACCCACAGCACATGTGAGTCATAGTCAAAACCCGGTACTGAAATGGTCGACCCAGGACCACTTTTCAAGAATTAAGAAGGCGAATATCCGCAGCTATTTATGGTTGGGACTGTTTTGATTTTACTAACCTTCATCAACCCGGGTTTTGATTGTGGCTCATGTGCTTCTCAAGAGTTGGACCCGTTTACCTTTGAGAAACCGAAATTCTTGCAAGCAGCCGCACATCTCACGGTAAGTTACCAGGCGAGTTGCGTGTGGGATCAAGCAAATCTGTGGAACTAAGTTCTTCAATCTTGCTTTGCTTGTTCCGTACGTGCAAAAGGGCCACCGTGCTGTCTTGGCTTCCTTCTGAGAAGGACAAGAGGCGCAGTGCAGCTCGTTATGGAGAGCCACGCTTGGTGTGCGCCATGCTGCGAACGTCCCCATTCTGACAGGTGAATCCGAGATGAAATAGATGCCCCCATGCGGATTTCTTGGGTACAATCATTTACTCAGGTGAGTCTTTGACACTGTGCAACATGCGGGGCTGAATTCACCCGCCCCCCCCCACACGCAAAAAAGAAGAAGAAGGATCTCCTGTGAAGCCCTTTACAGGGTGAAAGTAAATGATACAATTCTCTCTTTCTGCCCACCGGGGATGATGAAACCATGGGGGGAGTTTGAACTTCGCCATCTACTTCCTCAATTAGGTGGTTCCCACAAAATAGGCAGCCTGGAATCAGAAAACCTCCTCAGGAACCTTCACGGGTGCGCGTGTGCGTGTGTGTGCGTGTGCGTGTGAGTGTGCGTGCGCGTGTGCGTGCGCGTGCGCGTGCGCGACGTTGCAAGCCAAAACCCCAGGCTCAACCCTCCCTACACTTCCCCCTTAAGCATCACGGGCCCCTACCAATCGGAAGCCCACCAATTAGCAACCAACAGGTGAGGTTTGAAACCACCCAGAAAGGGAAATCCACACCAGGTGGTGTTTAACCTACCCCAAAAAAAATGAAATTCTAGGGCCCCAACCGAGCACCAACGATTCGAGGTGAGCCAAACAAAAAAAACATAACAAGGCGTGAAGCCGGGGGCACACGAAATCGATCCTTGGGCCCACCAAAAAACACACACACCACACACACACACACACACACCACACACACACACACACACGCACACACCACACGCACACACACCATACACACACCACACACACACACCATACACACCACACACACACACACACCACACACACACACACCACACACACACACACACACACCACACACACACACCACACAAACACACCACACACACACCACAGACACACACCATACACACACCACACACCCACACACACACACACGCCACACACACACACACCACACACACACACACACCACACACACACACACCACACACACACCACACACACACACACCACACACACACCACACACACACACACCACACACTTAAACTCTCGAAGGAGGAACTCATCTTTCGACTGGGTGGGTTTTCGAGTGGCGGTTTCCGCGGGCAAAGAGGGGTTAGTTGGAGTAGCCCACCAGCTGTCATCATAGACCCAGGTGCGGCTTGCAGGTACGTTTCACGAGAATCATGCGGGGTCTTCGTTGGCAGCCGCCCACATGCTTCTCCGGCTGCTCCAGTGACGGTCATGTTCTGAGGTTTGGCGATCACGCCAAGGATGGTGGCATAGGCCTTGACTTGTGGCCGCGGCAACGCTTGTCGCATGTTGCGTGATTTGTTTTGAGATAATTGAGAGTTTTCAAAACTGCTCCTGCAAGGAATAACGGCGTGAACGTGCTCCGACTGAGCGCCTCATGCGCACAGGCCATCCAAGTGTAGCCCGCCGTGTTGTGGGTGCTAGGGCGTCGTAATCCGCCGAGGACACGGTGTTGAAATCGATGTTCATGCCAGCTCGAAAGAGCCCTAGCACGTAGATTAGTGCCCTGGTCAGGAAAACCATCCCCAACACCATCGTAGAACGAAGAGCTGAAGGAAGGCGTTGCTCCGTAACCTGCATAGAGGTAGTCAATTTCTGCTACCTTAATTGCAGTTGGTAGCACGGCCTTGATTAACGAGTCGTTATTCGCGCACTCATTGAGCAAGGCCTGAGCCTGGGGGGAGCCTTGATGTCATCAGAGCTGGTGCTCAGCGGCGGCGGAGGGCTTACCCCGAAGGGTGTACCGTTGGCATGGTTCACTAGGTTGATCGTAGGTCGAGGTGTTTCAAATGACATGATATGGGTCGAGATTTAATTTGGGATTTTTTTGCTTTATTTTGGCATTTTTTTGTGTTCCGTCCTGGCTACTAA